TGTGTGTGTGTGTGAGTGTGTGTGTGTGTGTGTGTGTGTGTGTGTGTGTGTGAGTGAGTGTGACTCACGCTGCTGCTGCCAGGTGTGAGCGCGCTCAGCTCCACCGGGGGTGACAGGGGTCGTGTGGCGGGGTCAGAGGTCGGCTCTGCCTCCAGCTCATCAGGTAGAACCACACGTTTGGGTCTCTCCTCTAGTAATCCATGTCCCATGTCCACGTCCTCATAGCGCAGAGCAGCAGACAGATCCAGCAGCCTGAAACACGCGTCACACTCAGTACTCAGTCTCTCTCTCGGATTAAATCTGCAGCTGATTAAATTCCACAATACTGTACTTGTCTTGTTTTATTTATATAGCGCTTCATGCAATAGAGACAGAGCGACCCGCGTCATAATCTGAAAACCACGCCCACCGGGGGGAAAACAATCCAATGCTCTCCATTGACTCTGTATTGCGGGAAGCTGCCTCCTTGTCATTTCTGACTTATAACAAAAAACAGAGCAATGTCTAAAAGCTGCTATGTGACAAGGTATACAGCAAACAAGCTAAAAAACCCAGAACTACGTGTTTATAAGCTGCCGACCCAAAAAACGAGCGTTTAGGACACAAAAGTAGAGTGCAACGTGTCTATTACTCTGAGAACTGCGCCCGCTGGATGGAAACGTAATCGGAGACAGGAAACATTCATTATTTTAATTATGTCAAAGGATTATTTCACCACCCAATATGAACCTGAGAGGAGGAGATATATTAAGAAACTACATTTTATTGGTCTATGTCAGTGTCCCTTTTCCTTACCTTCCTTTTGTCTGAGACATGATCCAACTGAATGAAATACCCCGACATCTACAACTATGTGTCCTAAACGCTCGTTTTTTGGGTCGACCACTTATAAGAATGTAGTTCTGGGTTTTTAAGCTTGTTTGCTGTACACCTTGTCACATAGCAGCTTTTTTTGTGTGTGTGTGTGTTTGTGAGAGTGTGTGACTGAGTGAGTGAGTGAGTGAGTGTGTGTGTGTGTGTGTGTGTGTGTGTGTGTCACTCACATGCCGTCCACCGCCGTGTTCCTGATGCAGCCGTAGAAGGAGTCGCTGGATCCCGTCTCTCCCGGAGGAACGCCTCCGATGAAGAGCCGCTCCAGAGCCAGAGCTTTATCTGCAGACGAGCCCAGCTTCACCGTCGCCTGGTTCTGCTCGTCCACAAACACTGCGATGGACCTGCAGAAAAAACATAGAGCTTTCTGTAGGAAACGTCACTAAAATACACTGAACAATATTTAGATTTATGCATTTGAATTGCATGTAAAATTTCCATCCATTTGGATTACAGAGTTTTAACACTAACTAACAAACAAACTTGCATTATTGCATTATTTCTCAGTCATTTCTCCATTAAATAATCATGGCATAGTTAATTATTAACTATTTGAATCTATTTGATTTTATTTATATAATCACATTTTTAAAATGCATTTATTCAAATTGCTTAAAATCAGCATGAATTGTCAAAACCAGAGAAAAATAAATCCATAAAAATTTTTTTTTACTCAAAATAAATAAAATAAACAAAAAACATAAACTAATTTTATTTCAGTTAGTTTCTATGGCAACATTTCTCATTTTAATTTTGTTTAAATATATGTACTAAAATAACAAAAAACTGATATAAGAATTACTAAAAACTATTTACACATTCAAAAATAAATAAAATAAATAAAAATGACAAAAACCACAACAAAATTACTAAAAACTTTAATAGTTTATCAATGACTCTAAAATAACACTTGTAAAAATTAAAATTACTCCGTTAAAAAATATGGCAAGCTGTGAACAGGCAATATTCAATATTCAATTATTCAATGATATTGAAAACCAATTTAAACAAAATGGATTTAATATATAAAGCTGGTTATTGTGTATTTAAAACACATTGAGTTTATCTGCACTGTTACAGGAATCTGACCCGCTTCATTGATGTATGACTGACAGATATCATCACATTGAGTTTATTAGTTGGTTTAAACAATGTAATCCAAATGCATGGAAGTTTTATATGCAATTCAAATACATGAATCTTACATTTAGGCCTGATTATTTAGTATGAATGTTGTGTGTAACATACCTTTTGTTCCTCTGCAGTATGAGCGAATGCTCCTGTCCGTCACTGAAGGAGCCGTTCTGTGATTTGACGACTGCTCTGTGCATGGCCCCGCCCTCGGCCCCGCCCACATGAACCTCCAGCGATCCGGACAACAGCATCACGACCAGGAACGGCTGAGAGCAGATGAAGCACATGAGCGATGGGACGTGTTCACAGACACAGCCATGATGCCGTGAAGACTGAACCGACCTGCTGTGTGTGTCGGCGCGAGCGTCCCGTGCTGCTGCTGAATCCCGCCAGGATCACGCCGCGCTCTCGTCTGCTGGAGAAGCTGCTCATGATCTCCGTGTGAGGAGCCAAGAGGATGGCGGGCATCTGCAGAAAACCTCCTCCGAACACCGACACGCTGCGGATGGGCTGCAGACACACACCAGCACAGTAACCATGAGCTACACATCCTCCAAATCATTCCTTCATTCATAATTAACAACTTTCAGGGAGATAATCATCACACGACTTCACATTTGTGTTTGTATTGTAAGATAAACAAATTCAAAAGAATATAATAATTAAGTGAAACCAGGCCTGAGTGCAGGTGGTTGCTAGGGAGTTGCTAGGATGCTTTCTGTGGTTCCTAGGCAGTTGCTATGGTGTTTTCAGTGGTTGCTAGACAGTTGCTATGGTGTCAATTGCTAGGGCATTGCTATGTGGTTGCCAGGGTATTCCTAGGCAGTTGCTACAGTGGTTGCTAGGTGTCACAGATGGTTGCTAGGACATTGCTGAGTGGTTGTTAGGATGCGCTGGGTGGTTGCTAGGGTGTCGCTAGGCAGTTTAAAATAATCTTTAGTAATAATATACAAATAAATATTAATATTATATAGTGTAACAAAATTATTATAGCAATATGTTATATTGATACTATTTTAAGATTTCAGATATTATATATTTTAATATAACATTATTAGAATAATAATATGTTACATTGATATTTTAAGATTTTAGAGTTTTTGATAAAGAAAATTAAAAGGGCTTAATTAAGGGACTTTAGATTAATCTTTAGTAATAATAAATAAAAACGTATATATTATACATATTACTATAATATTATTATAGTAATAATACTTTAAATTAATGTAACATTTTTGTTTAACTTACCATTTCAATGTCCTTTATTTTATATCATAATAACAGAAATGAATGTAAAAATAAAATACCGTAGAGAGTTTAAAATACATTTTAGTACCGTTAACAATAATTGTGGTTTAATGAGTGAAGCTAAATTATTCCATTAATTACAGCTGAAGACAAACTGACAAACAGACACAATAATTCATTAAATACACAAATGCAAAAAAAAAAAAAAATTATTTTTATGATTTCATAAATTTTTAGTAAATGTTTTATTTTGATTGTTTTTATTTTAAAATGATTTATTTTCATTTTAGATTTTTTACCATTGAATCAATTTTTATTTTGTGTTTTATTTTGATTTGTTTTTATTATAAAATGATTTATTTATTCATTTTAATTGGACATATTTATGATTTAATTTGCTTTTCATCAAATCACGAACTCCCAGAACGTGATGCTGTACCTTGAGGACGCAGCCTTTCTTCACGCCATACGACTCTCTGAGCAGGTCGAAGTTTGTGCGAGCGATTTCCACATTCTTCATACAGCCGACGAAAGAGCGAGCCACAACCTGCCTCCTGCAACCGTGCACAAGGAAGTCGCATATAAGACAAAAATGACTCTTGAGTCTTTAGGAATTACTTTAAGGAAACTGTAGCATGTCTTCTGAGAGTTTGCTCTCACCTGATTGGTCGAGAGGCCGGTAATCCGCCGATGTAGATGGGGTCGAGGTCAGAGCGATTGAGGTCAGAGGACGAACCCGGTGACTCCGCCTCCATGACCTCTCGCTCTGAGGGTTTATCAGCAGCCATGACCGACAAATGACCTGCAGACACAACACACAGCACTTCCTGTGAGCTTAAACCTCATAAGAAATCTACCAGATGTAATGGATAAGAGAGCAGAGCGGCACCTCGGCGCTTGTTCCTCTGCAGGGCGATTCTGTACCAGGTGCCTGTGTTGTATGTTCTGTTGGAGGTCAAGGTCAGCGCTCCGGAGCCCAGTTCAAAGGTCAGGTGAACCTTCCCTTCCACCAGCTCGATGGACAGAAAGTCCCTCTACAAACACAGATGAGAAGAGAGCTGAGTGAGACGCTGAGGAGCGCTTGAGAGGGAGATAAGGAGGTGAGAAGTGCTAGCGTGAACGTACGGTGCCGTTGGAGGCCAGATACAGCAGCAGGCCGTTAGGAGAGAGAGTCTTGAAGAACATGACCACGCTGGTGGACATGGAGCGCAGGGACTTCTCCAGCACAGAGAAACCGCTGCCGTCGAAGTGGAACGACGTGTCTTCAGTGCGCGGACTGATGGACATGAGACACACAGGAAGATCGTCAGTGACTGTTTCC